GACTAGAACTCCATGTCTCCTGGTGATTGGCCCAAAGTCACCCAGCTAAGGTTTATATCTAAGCTGGGACTAGAACTCTCCGTCCCCTGGCTTCTAGCTTGGTGCCTTAAACATTATACTAAAGTGATCACATTCAGACCAAACTTTACCTTTTTTCCCCCTATTTTGTTTATATTTGCAGTGATCAATAAGTACAAACGGAGACGCTTTCAGAAAACCAAGAACTTACTAACCGGGGAAACGGAAGCGGATCCTGAAATGATCAAAGTAATATGACTTCTCTTGATACTTTCTTCTGCTCTTGTTTCTCCTTCAAAGTCCCAATTTTTCCCCTCATAGCTCTTCGGTCGTCAGCGTTGCAAGCCTCTGACTCCCTGATGGAATTGGCCTTCTGCAAAAAAAGTGGCGGAGGCTGGGGGGGAATTGGCAAATGGCTATGATAGTTTGTCTGCTGAAATTGTTTCCTTTGCTTCTTTGAGGGAGCAAATCTCTCCTCACAATCAGGAGGCTGTGAGTTCGATCCTAGGTAGAGGCAAATATTTTTCTCTCTCAGCACGTTGAGAATATGTCTGCTGGGGAAAAAAAAAACCTCTGCACTGGCGACAGAAAGGGCATCTAGCCAGTAAACACTCTGCTAGCTCCATTCAATTGCCCAGACTCCACCCTGTGTGGGATTATGAGGTGGATGAAAGAAGAGAAAAGGGGAGGTAGGAAGAAGCAAAATGGATTGAACGGCCCTCTTCCTCTTTTGGTGTTTAATGAAATAAAGAGTTTCATTTAAACTTTTTGACCGGAGGAAATAAAAACAGGCACTTTGCAAACTGTGTCTGTGGGCCTAGTGAAAAAAGGTTTAGGGACCTTTTGGAAAGATAAGTGAGCCCAGGAATAGCCCTGTGGTAACTAGCCATCATTGGAAGACAGAGGCGAGGTTTGATGGAGCTGGTGAGATCTGAAAGAAGGGGAGGAAAACCTGAGCCGCTTGGGGCGACTTGGCAGAGCTCTGGATGTGTGAAAGCGAGACAGAGAGAGAGAATCTCGTATTCAGGTTACGCTTCGTGAAGACAGATGGAGTCACACCTGTGTACTTCACCTGGAAAAAGCACCAGGGCCTTTCCCACCGCAACCGGGAAACACCCTAGGCGGGTCTAGCTGGGCCTGTGGTCAGATCACTTGGGTACTCCCTGGCAAGCTGGCATAGCATAGAAGACAGTACAGTACAGTACAGTACAGTACAATACAATACAGAATAAATTAGATTAGAGGATAGGATAGGATAGGAATAAAATATAGAATAGAATATGGAATAAAATATAGAACAGAATACAATATAATAATACAATATAGAACTGAATATAGAATACAATTAGAATAGAATATACAGGAAATAACTGATTTAAAAATACTTAAGCCTGAAACATTTTTATTAGGGATAATTAGGGGTGAATACCAAAACGACATTGAATATATAATAATATATATATTGACAGCAGCTAGAATGAGGTATACACAAAATTGGAAATTTTAGAGTAATCCCACAGATAATATGATTATAAAAAAAATATGGATTGTGCAGAAATGAGGAAGCTTACAATGGAATTGCAGGAGAAGGAAGAAAAAGAATACTATATTGGTATGTTTGATTGGATAATAGGAACAAAAAGCAATGTAAAATTTAAATGTAAGTGATGTGTATATGTATGTATGTATAAGTGTGTGTGTATGAATACGGAAAAGTCAATGCCACGACTTGTATATGATTTGTAAATTGTATATATGATTTGTTTTAGAAGTGTAAAATTTAATAAAATTTAATTTTAAAAAAAGGATATAGAATAGAATATAGAACAGAATGCAATTTAGAATAGAATATAAAATAGAATACAATTTAGAATATAGAATAGAATACAATTTAGAGTAGGATATAGAATAGAATACAATTTAGAATAGAATAGAAATAGAATAGATGGAATGGAGTAGAGTTGGGAATGGAATGGACAGCAGGGAATAGAAGAAAATAAAATAGAATAAGCTGCTTGGATGAGAAATGAAACGTCTTCCAGGAAAAACAAAAGAAAATCCAGTTGTCTTTTTTTTTGGGGGGGGGGGGGGGCACCTTTGGAACAGCCATAACGTGGATGACTGAGACTCTCCATAGGCAGCTGCTGCCAAAATGTTCTCCCCGCCCCACTTTCCTGAACCTGCCGCATTCCAGGCTTTTGGGTGGCTACTGACTGCTCCAGAACGTCCCCTTCTCTCCTCTCTTTTTCCTACTCCCTCCCTCTGGAGACGACATGACTCAGGCTTCGTGCTTTTCTTGCAGAGAGCTGAAGATTTTGGCCCCGTGGAGGTGATCTCACACTGGCACCCCAACCTCACCATCAATATTGTGGACGACCACACACCGTGGGTGAAGGGCAGCGTTCCTCCCCCTCTGGATCAGTGTAAGGCTTCAAATAACGCTGGGCCTACGGAGTTGCTCTGGCACCAGGATATACTGGCCGGGCGGGGCTTCCCTTTCTCTGAGGCTCTTGAATAACAGAATAACGGGGGTTGGAAGGGACCTGGGAGGTCTTCTAGTCCAGCCCTCTGCTCAAGCAGGAGACCCTATGCCCTTCCAGACACGTGGTTGTCCAGCCTCTTAAAAGCTTCCACTGATGGAGCCCCACCGCTTCTGACACTCTCGATGCTCTCGGCTTGTCTCTTTTTCCAGATGTGAAATTCGACGCCGTGAGCGGCGATTACTACCCCATCCTTTACTTCAACGATTACTGGAATTTGCAAAAGGATTACTACCCCATTAATGAGACCGTGGAACGGTTGCCCTTCCGCCTTTCGTATTGCCCACTTTCGCTCTGGCGGTGGCAGCTCTATGCCGCCCAGAATAGTAAATCTCCTTGGAATTTCCTCGGGGAGGATTTGTACGGACAATCCGATGAGGAGCAGGATTCGGTCAAGGTGAGCGGTGGGGAAGACCCACACACACACCCCTTTTACTCCTGGGGAAACCCCAGGCTCTCGACTCCGGAGCTGCATCTAAAACAGGGTGTCAGCTTTGGAAGCCATATTAGCACCGGAAGCTGCTGCATATTGCCACATTCTTCAGCCTGGGAAAATGGGAGTGGGGGATTTCATGGAGCGTATGTGGTTAGACAGAATAGCATTCTTCTTCTAAGTCAAGGTCATGTTATTTCTGCACCTGAGTGAGAGGACGTCTCAAGTTGGGACGAATGGTGGTTGGGGCGTGTGATGCAATGATGGGTGCAGGAGGTTACTTTTTTTAATACAAGGATACTAGTCCTTGTTATAAAATGAATGTGGTGGGTTTAGAAATTCTGGAAAAATGGAGATTTAGTTTGGTCTAGTGGTTAAGACCTCAGGCTAGAAAGTGGGGGACTGTGAGTTGTAGTCCTGCCTTAGCCATGAAAGCCAGCTGGGTGATTTGAGGCCAATCACTAGGAGACGGTGAGTTCTAGTCCCATTTTAGGCATGAAATTAGGCTGGGGGATTTGGGGCCAATGACCCAAAGACTGAATTTTAGTCTTGTTTTAAGCATGAAACCTGGCTGGGTAACATTGGGCCAATCACCAGGAGACGGTGACTTCTATTTCCACCTTAGGCATGAAAGCCAGCTGGGTGACCTTAGATCAGTGTTTCTCAAGCGAACGTACTTCACTGGGTTGTTATTGTGGGGAAAATAGGAAGAGGAAGGTGTGTTGTATATATTCACCCCCTTGAGTTATTTGTAAAAAAAAAATATTAAAGGGAAAATACAAATCAATCAATACACCTGCCAAACTAACTACTTCAGTTTGGTTTGTTGGGACTTTAAGTTACAGTTTGTGTTGCTCATGTTTTGGACTTGATTTGTTATAGTCAAAGACTGTTCCTGGGAGAGTTTTTCTCCAGCCAGAAGGTAACCAGGACATTGGGAGCGAAGTCGGAGATAATAAAGGGACTCTTATTGATTATCTGACTGTGTTGCTTTTGTGCCACGCCCCTTTGGGTCATTATACATCGTTACTGATTTTTTGTATGTCCGTGTTGTTGTTTCTTGTATCATTTCACACCTCTTCGCTTTCTTTTTTCTTCTAGGTCGCTTTGTTAGAAACGAACCCTTACTTGCTGGCTCTGACGATTGCGGTTTCCATCGTGCACAGCATTTTTGAGTTCCTTGCTTTCAAGAATGGTAAGTTTCGAACACTTGGAGAATCAAATTCTCCCCCCGCTACCCTGCTGTGATTACAACTCGTTCTCAAGTTTGCAATGAAACGTTTGAAGTTACAGCCAGATCGAAAAGTCAAAATCCCATCCTTTCTCTCCCCCATCCCCAAATTGCAGTCACATGACCAAACTTCAGATCCATGGCCACCCGGTTCCTTCTGGTTGTCACTTAATGATGCCCGCGTTCACGATCACCACCATCGTGTTCACTTAACGCCCACGGCAAACAAAGTTGTAAACATCACATGACCGACCAACTTTAGGGCCGGTACAAAAATCTGACCCTACTGGGCAGGCTCCATTATGGTCATATGTCAAGGACTATCTGTAACCCTTCAAAGCAAAGGCGTCTCCTGGATCGATTTTCCCAAAACTGGGATTGAATGTGCACTGCTGCGTGTTGTCAGTTGTTGGCCAAGTTGCTGATTGTAACCAAGTACGATCCCGGGAGACACATGGTGGTTCTTCTAATCCGGTGTTTTCTCTACCTTGGTGACTTTTAAGGTGGATGGACTTCAACTCCCAGAATTCCCCAGCCAGCCAGTGTCAGGATTCCGGCAGTTACCCCCAATTAAATCATGAGTCTCGAGCCAAACTCCCAAAACTTCAAAAGGATTTATTGGGAGTTAACATGGCCGGCACTGCCTGGGTGCAGCCGACTCTTGAGACACATAATTTATTGTCACCTTTGACCCTGGATTTCCTCCACCCCGCCACCCCCTGGGTGTATCGTAATTCATATCCTCCAACGGGACACCTCCATAGCCAAGAGTCATCAATCAGGCTCTCCAGTTAGAATTTTGCCTGGCAGAAACTTCAGTCCCCTAGTTACTATCTTTGAAAAACTATTTATGGAATGCACTTTTGGTTTCCAAGCTGCCACACTGCTCCCCCTTCCCTTTCCTTTGGCAACTCTAAAAAGACCATAGAACTATTTTATGAGATGACAGCCATGCTGTCTGGGGAATTCTGGGAGTTGTAGTCCACCCGCCTTAAAAGTCGCCAAGATTCTAGTCAAAAGGACCCCGTCCGTAGAGCAAAGGGCGTGAAGGAGAATCACTTCCTTTCCCAACCTCAATTGTGTTTCTCCTCCTCCCGGTTAGATATCCAGTTCTGGAACAGCAGGCAGTCCCTGGAGGGCCTCTCCGTTCGGTCGGTCTTCTTTGGGGTGTTCCAGTCCCTCGTGGTCCTTCTTTACATCCTGGACAACGAAACAAACTTTGTGGTGCAAGTCAGCGTCTTCTTCGGTCTGCTCATCGATCTCTGGAAGATCACAAAAGTGATGGACGTGCGGGTGAGAAAGGGACACGTAGCTACTCGGCGGAAGAATTGAGGAGGAATTGAGCCGCTTTGGTTTAGTAGTTAAGGCACTAGGCTAGGAAGCAGGAGACCGTGAGTTCAAGTCCCGCCTTACCGTTGAAAGCCAGCTGGGTGACTTTAGGTCAATCCCTAGGAGACTGGGAGTTCTAGTCCCACTTTAGGTATGAAAGCCAGCTGGGTGACTTTAGGTCA